GCAGGAACCTCAAAATTTGGGTCACTCCTTATGTGAGACTCCAAGAGCTTTGCCATCTCAATTCCCTACAAACAAATGAAAACTATACACAATTATGAAACATAAACAAAAAAGAAAATTCTGTTGGCTGTCACTGTAATTTCAGAATTTCATTCTGTAAATACTAATGGTTATTGTCTAATTTGATGATAGAAAGAGAAGTGAATGCCATTTACATGTCTGATATGAGCTTGGAGGTTGTTCAGTCCAAAGGAACGCATGACAAACCAGAGTTTGAGGGAACGGAAACGTCTGCTAAGGGGAATCTGCCAATGCTGACCAACAGAAAAAAGTTCTGTTATTGGATGAAATGATTCACTATGACAGGTGAATGCTTAATTTCATGAATATAAAGTCATACCATAAAGTCAGTGGCTGCCTGTGAGTTTTCATGTCTGAGATAAACTGGGTCAACACTGAAGGTCTGTTGTAGCTTATATTTATCCTTTATCCTGAGTTTAAAAAAAAAAATTACCATATTATCAACCAACCAGCATCGTTCACATTAACTTTGGATTTACTGGTTTTTAATTTCAGATCCACTTTCATATGTAATGTTTATTTCTGTAAATGTGAGATGAGGCTTAAATATTGTAACTTACCAGAAAGCTGTGCAGTCAAAATGAACCATCATCCACTTGGAAGGGTTAAAGACAAAGGAGTTTGAAAATTCAATGCCTTCAAGTGACCAGCGCAGCTCAGGACAAAAGTAGGCTGAGCCAGCATACGCAGCATCAACATGGAGCCACAGTCCCTCTTCTGCACCTGCAAAACAGGTTAAAATGCAAGTACTGCATTATACAAAAGTGTCAAAGCACACATCATTGGAGTTTTAATTTGAAGACATACACACTGGTCCCAGTTCTGATATCTTGTCAAAGGCACACACTCCTGTAGTCCCCAAAGTTGCACACAGCTGAACAGGAGACAAATGTAAAGTTCAGTGTTAAAATGATAATGGATGGTTTAGATATTTTAGTCATTTTCTAAAACAAATGGCTTTTTTTCATGTTAGCCTCACAAATCATACATAATTAATGTTGCCACAGGCCATTTTCCATTCTGTTTGTTTGTTTACTTCGTTTGTTTTAGCTGCTATAATAGGCAGAACTTTTTTTTTTTATTTCAATATACTATAAAAGTTTGCTTTAGCCATTTGCCGTGATAGAAGCACTCAGATCCTTTAAAAAGTATATTATTGTAAAAACAATCAAACAAAAGCCAAGCACCTACCATGAAAGGGACCAGTCCCCTTCTCCTGTCTTCTTCTATGGCTTGTTTCAGTGTGTCTCCTCTAAGAGACAGCTGTTCATCAGTGGGTAGAAACCGTATTTTTACCAGAGAGATCAGACCTGCCTTCTCAACTGAGGAATGAGCCTGTAAATGGAGTCATTACATCAAATCAGATGATTTCAACTGATTCATAGTAAGTAGCTGTACTAGAAGAGATAACACTGACCTGATCTGATGCATAGGCCACTAGTCTTGTATTTAGAACTGAGTCATCCATGTCCTGGTCAAGCTCGGCCCGCAGCTGCAATATTTTGTCTTTTCTGGCTGCCAGCAGAGCAACCAGTGTGCTCTCACTGACTGTGCCCTAACAGGAGAGTCAAGTAGAAGAAGACACTCAGCTTCCAGTTACCACAGAGACTACGATCAAGGGTTTGGGTTTAAAACAAACACATCAAGGTGATGTCACACACCTGCAGTATGCCTCCACCTCTGCTGTCAGGATGGTGATGCAGGAAGAAGGAGGGGAGGCCTAGTGCTTTGCACAACCAGTCCATCACATGCATTTCCAACTCTGTACATGCTGGGCTAGAGGCCTGGCCAAACCGGCACAGACAGTTTGATTTATCAGGACTTCATTGTTGTGATGGTGTAGTGGAGAAACTGGTGTGTGTTGCTCTTACCCAAGTGAACCCAACACAGTTGATGGCATCTGCCAGCATGTCCCCGAGCATGGAGGGCCACGATGTCAGACTGGGGTAGTAGGCATGCATATAAGGGCTCTGCCAGTGAACCACCTGGTGAAAGAGATAAGAAAATACCTGCATTTTGGCCAGAGTTACAAATGGCTAATATGATGATAAGAGATAGTAGAACCTTACTCCCGGCATGATGACTTTCTCAATGTCATTGAAGATATTCTCCCAGTCCTCCGGCTCTGTAGGGGCAGTGTCAGGGAGAAGCTCCTTCATGTAGCCTGGTTTCACATCTGGAATCACCCTCCTCTCTCTGATGGAGCCCAGGTACTGTGTGATGTAATCCACCAGCTCCTTACCTTATTGGTGATAGACAATGCATTGTAACAGCTGGAATAATATTTCCTTTTAAAATGTATTATGCATGATTGTAGCATGGAAATAGAAAGCTAATTACAACACTTGTTTTATTTGCCACCTGATGCAGTTCATGGAGTTGAATAGAACTTCTGGATGGGCAACAAACATATATGGGCCAACAAATCAAAGTGTCAGGATGTCTGGTCTGACAGCAGTACTACATTTCTTACTACATTGGGCAGGTGGGCACCAGTATCACGGAGAACTGTCACACCTGACAGTTCTACACTAGTTAATGAGATGAAACAGTTGGATAAGAACGGCTTATAACAATAATCTGTCATACTGTATTTCATACAGAGGTTTGGAGAGTGGTTCAAATGGAGATACTGCATGCTTTTAATCAGACTGTTTTGTTTTGTTTAAGCGGGACGAACAACAATAAGTGGCCAGGCTCATAGCAGTAAAAGCAGCTGCGGATCTGTCCCTTTTCTGCGCTTTTACGCACATAGGTTTTGGGGCGGTGTTCTTTTTCCTGGGACACAATTAACACTGGAAGACTAGCACAGAAAATACACTTTTGTGAGTCGGTGTAAACGCATCGGCCAGCACAGCTGCTTTTATTAAAGCATATAGACGCGATGTTTTCAATCGGGGGAGCGGCGCTCTCTTCAACAGAAATCTTTTCCTCGTGCTTGTCTTAGCCTGATATCACAATCATTGCAACAGGCAAATCACATTTCGAAAGCCCAATGACGTTAGATCAGCCAAAAGTAGCCTGTTAAGATTATAAAATGGTTAAGACGTGTACTTTAATAATCACAGGCAACACGCACAACTACAGTCATAGTGCACAGTCACTCATAGCAGTGCAAAACAAACGAGGCCTCACAGTAACCGAGTTTCCTACATCACTTATCACCTTGCCCACGTGGACCAGAAACAACTAGGCCACAGTAAATATGTGAAAACGAAATAAAATGATCAAAAGCCTATAAGGTATCTTTAAACACCTGGGGGCGCGACCGCCTGGGGTGGGTTGATGCCCTACTGGCATCAGGACGGCTTAGCTTTTTGTTAACAAGTCATCAAACACTCTAGCAAACACTTTAAACCCCTGTAGCATAATTAGCTCGTTTAACTTATATAGCGTTGTTACTTAAAACGCATTCACTTATCAAACCAAACTCAGGCCAAAACTCAGACCGGAAGGTATCACTCTTCCTTCATTTGTGCCATATGGCCCTGGTACAAGTTCATATGCTTAGAGATATATTTTCCCCAGTTAGATTTTCTAGACCCTCTTAAATTGACAAAGTGGAACAGAAATCTTGTGCTTTTCCTGCAAACTTTCACTGAAACAACAGTGACCAAAACGCTCTGGGCCAATTTAAAGCTGCAGCCCATTTGATCGCTCAGTGGGGCTTACTGCAGTGTGCTCCTGCGCACAACAAACCCAGCTGAAGCAGCGCTTTGGTGGATAGACACAGGTGTGGAAGCAGCAGAGATGCATAGCTTGGACCTCATGCTCTAAACGCAGATGCTCGGTGGACATAGGCTCCACAGCAACGACAAACACGCCAGCAACCTCTGCCACCTGTGCCGCTCCCTCCGCCTCACTTTCAGCCACCGCAAACGAGAGCATCACACCTTTTTTCACCAATCCTCCACACAAAGCACGTTTTAGCTGTGCTTTACGGGCACTGTAGGGCACTTGGATCTCACAGGTTAGCCACAATGAACAAATCTGCTTTTCTTTTGCTTGCTTGTTGTTTGTTTTTGTTTTGCAATAGTCAAGGTTTCCCCAGGAAAGGCTGGTCACAGAATCAGCCAATGAAATATCACAGAGACATAACTTCAGAATAGACATGACCAAAATAAGAAACAAAAATACATTTTAACTGAATAAAAGAAACGGCAGCCTAACCCTAATAACACCAGAGTTTATAGGCTATTATTGTACTTTTTATACACATGACTTAACATTATTTATTGCTTAGGCCTATTGGTATTTTTGCAGTGAAATATTATGCAAAAAGAATAAATATAGTAAAAATGGAACCTAAATTTACCTCTGCGATTGTACTCCTCAGGCTGCATTTTTTGTTAAAGGTAAGAGTTCTTTGGTTTATAATTCGTGTTGTAACTGCAAAGATGCTTTGTGTATTCAGCAAGACAGACCAGAGAACTATATAGACCCATTTGTGAAGGACACACCCAAAAGTGGTGACGCATTTGAGCCATCAAACAAATGTCCTCCACATGTCCTTTCCATCATTGAAATCTTTGGTGCATCACCTGTGAGCTTCCATTTCCGATTAAATATTTACCCTCCTTCATTTATTTGTGTTTCAGTTAAAAGATGCCATGGGGGTAATCTGTGTAACACTATAAGGCTAATAACTGATAATTAACACTGCAGTTAACAGCGCCCTGGCCCAGTGGCTGATCTAAAACATCTTACATGGTGTGGCAAGAGGCTTTGTCAGGGTGGCATGGATTGTGCTATTTGGGGGTTTGGGCGTATATTGTTGTATAGCCCCGGCTGACCCCATGTTTTGCATGTTATCCCTGTGCCTGCGTGGGTCTCTCCAGGTAATCCAGCTTCCTCCCACAGTCCAAAAACATGTAGCTTAGTTTGACTGGTGACTCTACAAAAGGGCATCCTGCATAAAACATGTCAAGTTTAACAGAACAGCCGAAAGTAGAAGAAGAAGACACTGTAGGAGCTTAAAGGTAGGGTTGGAGTTTCCTTCCAGAAGCTTTTTTGTTACATTTCTTGACTTTGTATTTTCATCCCAATGGCAATGAATACATTAAATGCACTGTCATCATAGGGTTTAGAAGTCCATCATCTGTGGCAGCAGCAGGCATCAGAGTATTGCACCAGACATACAGCTTTAACCACTGTAAACCGGGAAAGTCTCTGGGTAATTTTTATTAGTATGTGACTTGCTATTTGCCAACTTGTCACTCCAGGTGTCTGGACCTTTGTTTTGGGACAGTCAAAGGGGCTTATAATTCTTTTGGCAGAGCCCCGCTTGGCATGTCAGACCATAATGTTGTTTATCTTGTTCCGTCCTAAAATTAGGTCCTGAAGAGAAATAATGGATGGAGAAGTCCACTCAGTGTCTCCGGGATTGCTTTTCTTGCACTGACTGGGACATGTCCAAAAATGCCTGTGCGGATATAAATTAATTAACAGAAACTGTGTCTGCCTATATCTCCTTTTGTGAGGAGATGGCCATTCCCCAGAAAGCCTTGTGGGGTGAATTTATGTTACTTCCATCAGGGTGCAGAATCAAACTACCGTGATGCAAAATAAACAGGTTCAGATGATAATTTGTTCCTGTTGCTATCAGTCTTCTTAATGGTACTTGAAATGATAGTCTGTGTCTGGTATTGATGTTCTTATGTGTTTGACTGTTTATACTGCTGACTTTGAATCAAATTGCCCCCTGGGAATAATAAAGATACCTTGAGCCAAAGCTGAGTTAGTTCATAGTCTTTATAGTGTGCATCGTGTTTTGGAGGAGTGACTTTGGAGAGAAGTCAGAACGAAAGGGTGGGATTTCTTTGGTTCAAGGTTCAAGGATTTTATCAAGGTTCAAGGTTCAAGGATTTTATTGTCAATTCACCATATGTGCAGGACATACAGAAAATCGAAATACTGTTTCTCTCTCACCTAGTGTTGGGTGCCATAACATTTAGGAACTAAAATAGAATAAAGTAGAATAAAAATAGAATAGAATAAATAAATCTAAACGGTGAACAGTGTTCCCCATCCTCACAACCTGGTGAATGAAGCTGTTTGTAAGTCTGGTGGAGTGGGCCTGAAGACTCCGATACCTTCCCCCTGAAGGCAGGAGTCTGAAGTGGGAGTGTGAGGGGTGGGAGGTGTCATCAGCAATGCTGATGGCTCTGTGGGTGAGGCGGGGGTTGAAGATGTCCGTAAGGAAAGGCAGAGGGGCACCGATGATCTTGCTGGCTGTTTTCACTATGCGTTGCAGGGTCCTTCTGCAGGAGGCAGTACAGCCTCCGTACCACACAGTGATGCAGCCAGTGATGATGCTCTCAATGGTGCCCTGGTAGGAGGAGCACATGATGGACATGATGGATAACATCTGTGTTTATGAAACTCAACATGTTTTAGTTTTGTAGTAGTGCTTTGTAATCACAAGCATTTCATTAGTAACTGTACTTAAATTACATGTTTTTTTCTGATTAGAACTGATTACAATTACATGCATTTTGTAATTTGATTACATGTTACTAGCTACTACTCAGCACTGATTACATGTAGCATTCTCTGCTATTTCCTCTTCTCCTGTGACTACTTCACAGAAGATGTCTGTTAGAGAAAATCAATATTTATACTGAGTGATGACTCTACAAAGACAAACAAAGGTAAAGTACACACAGGAGGGTGTAGTAAGGAAAACCCATCAGTGTCATAGCTTATCACTGCTTTGTATCACCTGGACTGTTCACACACTGCTGTTTATATAATCATAATTCTAACACGCTGTAGCATACGTCAGAGGCGATCAATTCATTCAGCTGATTCAGTGAGTCTAATAAAGCAACGAAGGATGTTTATTTAAGACCTTTGAAACCCATTGTCCTAGTCAAGTGGACATTTAATAAGCTTAGATATTTAGAAGAAGTCAATTTGGAACAGTCTGCGCTCTCTGGGTTCATTAGTCTGTTTATTAACACCACGTGTGGATGAAAAAAGTTTTCATAGATTTAGATGCATTTCCTGTACTGGATTAAAACTCAAAATATCTCAACACATCGCTGCACTTTCAAGTCCATCACATACAGTATGTATTAAACATTGTCCAAGCTATTACATGGGTTAAGTCTATGTTTGTGATTAAACTAGTCCATTTTCCCACAAAACGTGATCTGAAAGTTTATTATTCCTCTGAATCATATTTGAGTTTAAACCCACATGTTCTAACAGTCCCTGCTACAAAGACCTTTGATCCACTGAAGGCAGGAAGTCTAGTAGCTGCAATGATGACTATTAAGTGTGTATGTGTGTGTGTGTGTGTGTGTGTGTGTGTGTGTGTGTTGACCTACCTATATATTACAATAAATTGTGTGTGTGTGTGTGTGTGTGTGTATGTGTGTGGTATAATAAATAAATGCTAGGGGATATGGAGCAGAGCACACTGTGACTATTGTGCTCCTTGTGTGCCTGCTTGATGAAAGCAGTTTGAACCACGTAGTTGTGCAATTGAAGCTCAGGTGCTGCTTTGTGACATCAAAGTCATATTGCTCCATGATGGATCTTATTCTGTTCCTTTTATTCAAATAAGCTGAAAATGTCAATACAGCATCAGCCTATATCACAAAGAGAACCTTGGGCTTGATAATTCAAATCAAGAGCCAGAAGCAATTCATAAAAAGAGGATTTGGATAATTAGTGTGACATATGACATCATATAGTAGGTTATAATACATTTTTAGTATTTTAAATTAATTTAATAAAATGAGGTTTTATAGAATTTTCCTTCCATTTGTGATCTTTTAAATTTCACTCTTTTTACACAAAGGTTTATCTGTGGAATGGAAGTATAAATCTGAGTGTGTAAAGCAAAACCTGTTTAAACCAAGTGTAAATCTTTATTGGTTATACTGTCAAAAACAATAATGTGCTTTACAGTGGATTTAAAAACTTTTATAGTATGAACTGGATTAATTTCAAGGTCACTTCAGCCATAAATGTATTGCAACAGCAAATTATGTCATTTAATTGTCATTTACAGTCTGTACAGTCAACCCATGTAATTAAAAAATGCACATAATTATCACAATAATTATCACAATCAGTATTACTATGGGGGACATAAGTAGTTTGACAGACTAAAACAGTAAATCTTTAATTGTGAAATACAGTAACACAGTGATCATAGTGCATTGACCAGAGTATGATGTGTCTCCACTTTTGTTTTATGCTCACAATATAATGAAGATTAAAATACTGTGACAGAAACAATGTGCAATGTTTTAAAATCTCACAGTGGCACTTAACAATAATTAGCTGCAGAAGAGGCTGAAATAAGTAGATTTTTCAGATCAAGTAGATGTTCTCAAATAATGCTTCATTTTAGTTTTAGCTCTCAACCACTATCATATACATGGCAACAGATGGACAACATGCATATCAAACTGACCCTGTAGACTGTAGGGTTGTGGTATGAAGTATGAAGGTATAGTATAAAGGTTGTGGTTTGAAGGCATTTTGGCAGTGAAAAAATGACAAGATTAACAATAGCACATAACAATTCAACCACTACACTTGTGAATAATGTAAAAATCTGAGACTTTTTACAACATTTGATGATAGCATGGGACAAATATGTGTCAGAGATGGTATGCTCACTGTAGGAAAACTGCAGGAGAGACAAGGTGGGACAAAGTGGTCAGTGAAGGAGAAAATTGATTCCAGAAGGTGGCAGTGATGCAATAATGAGGATGCCAGCTACAGCAAAAGAAGAAGAAGAGGAGGCGGAACAAGAACTCGGAAATCAGCTGTCAAAAAAGTAACGCTAGTTAAAGTGTATACAACGTATGAGAAAGAGGTAATTTTTAAGTTCACGATGTCTTACAAAACAGTTGGTCACTGTATGTATGTCGGCATTATTATTGGAAGATATTTCATTATTGCGAACTATGATTATAGCTACGAATACCTGTGCCGTAATAGCTCACAGCAGCTAACCTAAAGCTTAGTTAACTGCGTGTTCTCAGTGTAGCTTGCTAGCTAACCAATGTAGCTAGCTAGCTGCTTATGTAAACTCCAAGTGTAATAAAGTTAATTTGACATGTAATTAGGTAAATTGTGTTTATATCAAACCAATGGTTTGTTTATGCTCTACTCTGAGTACTGTCAATTTAATTGTCCGTTAGCTATCCAGCAAATACCCCGTCAAGGCAGATGTTCGCGGCTAACGTTAGCTAGAAAACTCTTTTCTGTTGTTGTCAGCGTTGAAATATCATGCCCCAGCTAAATGCAATCACAAGCTGACAGATGTTGGCCGCCAACAGTTAGAGCTAGCTACATATAACTTGTGATAGGTCATGTTTTTAGCTTAACCTCTGGCCATTTTTAAATGCTGCACGACCGAGCATGCAGCTGGGACGATACTGATAATACTGGAAGTTGTATTCAACAACATATTGTATGCGTATTTAAACAGGAAGAGTTTAGTGTATTAGAAGCTGCGTGTTTACTTTATTTTGCTGTCACGGACATTTTCCAGAGATGTCCCGAGCTTGCGTACAGCACTGACTGAACACAGCCGCGAAGATGCCTGCAGTGTCCACCGAAGTCAAGGAGCTGTATCTGTGCACCTCGTTGGGTGACCTCAATAAAAAGGCTGAAATTAAGGCGGATAAGACGAGCACCAGAAGGTAACACTACTGGTATCAACTAGGGCAGCAACTACCCATTATTTTTGTTAAACAGTTTAGCACCCAAAGATACCCAGTTGACCGTGGTATACTTTATGACAATGAAAAGCGTTAATGCTATAGCTTCACTGAATAGAAATGGGAGATAATATACAATAAAAAACCAGCAGAAAAGTTGAAGGACATTGATGACATGGTGCTGAATATATATTAATTTATATGTTCCAGCTATGTTCAGAGTGCCTGCAAAATCTTCAAGGCGGCAGAGGAGTGCCGTCTGGACAGAGATGAGGAGAAAGCTTATGTGCTGTACATGAAGTATTTAACAGTTTATGACATCATTAAGAAAAGACCGGACTTCAAGCAGCAACAGGTATAGTTAATAGTTGTACAATTGTAATATTTTATTTTGTTACTAAAGTCCTATTTATAGACTTGTTAACTAGTTGCAAAGTATCAAGAAATAAAGATAGTAATTTCTAAACTCTTTTCTGTTCCAATGTACAAAGGATTATTATTTGACCATGCTGGGGCCAAACAGCTTTAAGAAAGCCATTGAAGAAGCTGAGAAGCTCTCTGAAAGCCTTAAACTCAGGTAAGAGGCCTTCATAAAATGTACACACCTTAATAATGCACCAGAACTTTAATATGTAATCACATTATTTATTTTGCTCAGCCAATTTATTACATATCTATACAGGTATGAGGAAGTTGAGGTTCGCAAAAAACTTGAGGAGAGGGAGAGACAAGAGGAGAAGAAAAGGAGGGAGGAAATATCAGAGAAAGATGGTCAAGGCTCTCCAAAAGCATCATCAGCAAACAAGGACAGCAAAAAAGTAAGGAGGTCATTAAAATGTATAGACATGTGGCAGACACTTAATTCCAATGAGACCTACTTTAGCGTGCATGTATTATTTACAAATTATGTGGGTGGTTGAATCGATTTTAAGACAAGTACAGTGATCATGATTTTTAAATTGAGACATAGTTAACACGTTAAGCCCTTTTAATAGCTTGACATTAACGCTTGCCCGGGGCAAGCAAACTCTATATTTGGGCAACTGGAATGCGTCATGTAGTTGCCCAATCAGGCAAGTGAAAAATACAAGTGATAGTCTGTATCCGTTTTTGTGTGTTGAAAGCAACTTGGCTTTCAGTTTGTGAGCACAGGGAGCATTTTGTCAGAACTCAGAGACCAGTGAGTGAGATTAGTGAACTGGAAAACATGGTTTTGGTGTTTATGGAGCGGCTTCTTCTCTGTCTGTCACAATGAGAGCAGTGCTGAGCTCCTGGACACGGAGCAGGGAACAGCTGAGACACCGCGGTGAAAGGGGGGGTGCAGGTGAAACATGCTGGTCTATTAGAGTACTTGAGGTAACAACACCTCTACTCTGTACTGTACGTGCAATAAAACCTCTGATAGTAAAAAGCCAGTCAGAGCAATTTATCAAAACATTTGCTAAATGAGCATGAATTTGCAGAATGGGGATCATTTTAGCTTTGCCCGCAGACTCACATTCATCACCAGTATGTGTTAACTGTCGAGCTCCTTAGGCTAATAGCTAACTGTTTACGGTAGTCTATAAGAGGCAGAGAAGGAAGCTACTCTGTTTATTTGTCAGGATAATGTTGTGTAGCTTATTTTTCTCCTCTGGTTTCTTCAGAAATTCTAATAAACTCATTAAAGTAGACTACCCAAAGTGATTAGCTCAGAACTTTTTTACAGAGAGATGAAATAAAGGGAATCAGATTTACCTAAACTTAAACTGGTGCTGTATTTACTGCTGTACTGTCCAGTCTGAATTCTAATCTAATTCTAATCATGGTAATTCTAACCTATTACCAATAGAGCAAAGTGAAAAATAGAAATAGAGTTTAATAACAATGAAAGTTAACAGCAGTAAATAGCAGATACTTTGCTTATAAATGCTGAGGTTTTGTTGATACTTATTGGTGTATCCACTCACTTTTATGGACATTTGTGAGACTGGAGTTACTTTGTCGTTATGGATGATGAAAAGGTTTTCTACTGCAGAAATAAAATCATTCTAAAAGCTTTTAGTAAATTGTGTAAATAACAATTAGATTATATACAGGCAAATATAATTTATGTTCAGGTATTTCCACAGTATGTCATGTATCCTAGAAGTCATCATAGTTATTTTACTAGGTCTTATGTTTCAAAATTCTTTACTTATTTCTTTTTAAGGTCAGTTTGCCCCTATGCAGTATGCAAGCTATATTTTTTATGTTAAACATGAATAAAAGAGATGCATTAATGTTATTTCTTAAAAGAAAACATAGCTGTGCCCATAAATATTTAGCTGCGCCCTTAAATATTTTAATTTAGAGGTACTTGTTATAATGTGAAACAACAAATTCCCTGAAAGTTGGTCTGAAATGTTTTAATAGGCCTACATTTTCTATTCTGGACAAGTCTGGCTATTGGGCAAGTAAAGCTTAATGTCAAGCCCTGTAATGGTAATGTTTTATCATTCAAATTTATTTCATATAAGGAAAAGTTAAGTGGAAATGGAATCAATGAAATCAATCATATTGTTACTGTTTATTTGTAAGATAATTGTTTTGACATCAACTTTGTTCGTGCGTGTCTGTATGTCAGGTGAAAGGAGAGCAGAATGAACTGAAGAATGCAACATCAAAGGGTAAGCACAATAACAAAGCATCTGATAAATCTGTATTGTCTTTTTTCCTGAGATATTGATCAAAATCGTTCTGTAAACTGTGAATATGTTTAACCATAAACCCATGAAGTTTTTTTTTAACACAATATTTTGTCTTGTGTTGTTATAATGACTTTACTTGTAATTTAATCCATAAAGTCTGTTGTATAGTGTACATTACCTTACATATTTTACTATAAATATCAACTGTACATATCTATCGGTAAATTAGTACTGACTGTACATACTGTGAACTCTTCACTGCTGTTATTGCACTTCTGGTTAGATGCTAAACTGTATTTCATTGCCTTGTACTTGTACATGTGTAATGACAATAAAGTTGAATCTAATCTAATGTAATCTGATAGCTGTGCTGCCAGCTGGTGGGATCACAGCTGAGAAACTGTTCCACATGATGAAGGACCAGGCAATTACATTAATTGTCATGGATGCCCGCAGCCAGAAGGACTTTGAGGAGTCTCACATTCAGGTCCCAGCCCAGACCTGCATCAGCGTGCCTGCAGAAGCCATTAGCCCAGGGTGAGAATGGGGTTTGGGGAGGAGGATGTGATTGTTTGATCTCACATTGTATTTTTAATTTTGGAGTGAGCAAATGTATTGTCTAATTTCTTTTTGTAAACTTGTTTTCTGTTCCTCTGTCTGTTTCACTAACTCTCAGACAAAGGAAGAACAAATTCAACTTCTAAACCTGACCCTTAATTTAAACTGGATTGTCATGACTTTTCAGAATCACTGTGAATCAGATTGAGACAAAGCTGCCAGATGTGTCCAAAGAGCATTGGAAGCAGCGGGGATTTACAGATTATATTATTTTGCTGGACTGGTTCAGTTCTGTCACAGACCTTGCACTGGGCACCACCTTGCAGAGCCTCAAAGATGCCTTGTATAAGGTAACTTCATGTGTGAGTTGTTGTTTACACACTTAACATCAGCAGAATAGTCCTGTGAGGTACAATAATATGTTTGCACACTCCACAGTGGGACAGCATCACCATTCTGCGTAGTGAGCCACTGGTGCTGGAGGGGGGCTACGAGAACTGGCTGTTGTTTTATCCCATGTACACAACCAATGCTAAAGTTCGTCCCCCTAGACAGAATATAATCAGCGCCACCCCTCAGTGTGAGTATCACCATCACACCTACACAGCATACACCTTAGAGTAGGAAACTGTGTAATACACACACATGATTACCTGAAATAGCCCTTAGATTTAATCCTCCTACAAGAATCTTAACCTTGTAATACTCATCTAATGTAACTGGAGTGTTTTTATTTTCCAAAGAAAGTGAATCTGAGGTTTCTTTGATGTGTTGAACAGTGAACTTCAGCTACCCATCTCTAGAGGAACCAAAGCCTCTGACCCCACCTCAGCCAGAGCCTGAGATCACACCTGAGCCTCAGGAACCCTCAGCTCCTGTGCTGGTGAATGGGGTTGCACCAGCCGACCCCCCCACATCTAAAACTTCCATGATTACAGATGGGTTGTCAGACACTATTGATTCATCTGTCACAAGCTCTACAAGTTCTGAACAAGACCTCAATAAAAAGGGCACTGCGGTAGGCGCATCACAGTCACCTGCAAGAGCCAAGCCCTTCCCACAGGTTTTGTATCTATCCCTTTAACTGTTATACCTTTTATGCTTCAAGTGTAAGTATGTATCACTTGTATTTTATTTTCCTGCTCTTATGTCTCAGTTTGACCGTACCCAGAAACCCTCTGTCTGGGTGTCTGATGAGTCTCGGCTGAGTCCGAATGGGTCAGTCAAGGACTCCACCCAAAATGGCCCAGCTGTCCCTGACCGATCAGTCAAACCACCGTTTATGCCCAACACGTCTCTGTCTAAAGAAGAGCAAAGTCAAATACACTCTGAGGCAGTGGCAGTGATGGAGAAGGCCAGGCAAGAGCATGAAAAACGCATCCAGGAGCGTCGTTTAGAGGAGGAGAGGAGGGACAAGGAACAGAAGGAGAAGGAGTTGAAAGAAAGGCTAGAAAGGGAAGAAAGTGAGAAGAGAAAAAAGGAAGAGGAGGAGAAAAGACACCAAGAGAAAAAGAAACTGGAAAGGCAGAAGGCCGAAGAGCAGGAAGACAAAGAGAACAAGGCATCGGAGGAAAAAGAGAGAAAGGGAAAGGAGCAGAACTCTGACACACCCTCCAAGAGTATGTCTCTGGATTCCCCTGCTCCCAACCACATTGTTAGTGAAATAAAAGTGAGTCCTCTTCTATCAGTGTTACTTTACCCCTCGATGTTAAAATATGGCTTAACATTTGTGCTTTTGTTGGTCACAATACAAGTATCCAATGTAACAACAGGAATTAAACACTAACTTTGTTGGCAGTTCACAGTAAAAGTGAGATGTGAGCGCTATTGAAGCATTCACCGACTCCGACCTCTGTGCTTTGTCTATGCCATCAGAACAGCTGCCTGGTTGTTAGCAGCTTCTGATGAGCTGAAAGGACAGTGGGCAGAAGAACGGTCTTTCCCAGGCTGAGATACTGCAGAAATGTACTAGAAAAAATGTTTTCATGTAGACTCATCAGGACAAAATCAGCAGTGTTCTACGTATGGGTTCAGTGATTTGATTTCTTAATGTTGACATAGTGTGCAGGCGGAAAGTGAAACCAAAAGCTGACAAACACTCCAGGATCAGTCATAACATGCCCAGAAAAGGTTTGCATCACATACTAAATAACAGGGGATTTATGTGATTTTTAAAGTGGTGATTATGCTTCACTAAATATGCCAGAGGGGAAAAAAATACAGTTGAAGCCTAAAAAAGGCAACGGGTGAATGTGAATGGACCTTTAACGTTCCTTAAAGCCTAATGTCTTAGATATGTGGTTGAAAAGAAACCTACGAAATCTTGCTTTCTAGACGGCGAGACCACAAATCCACACATCCATGCACTGTATAAATAAACAGCCCCTCTAATAGTAACAGCTATTTGCAACAGTGGTTCCACCCACTTCTTCCAATCTGCATAATCACCCAGAGTTGCCATATAGAATTACTAAGTGTAGTGTCCCTTTAGGCTGTCTCTGCTCTCCTGTCTTACTGACTTGCGCTCAGACAATAGCTCTTAGTTCTCTCTTTTTCTCTTCTGGGAGTCAGTTGCATGGTGTTTAAAATCAATATAAGTGATTTAAGTTATCACTGATATACAGAAGATACCCACTGACCACAGTGTCATAAGTGTTGTAAGCCATACAGTGTCATGGCTGAGCAGTACCAGACATGTCCATGACACTGAACTTTAGAAATACAGTAAAACTCCTCATGATTTTTGTAGATAAAATTTTAGTGAAGTCACTGCATGTGTTTTTTTTTCTTTTTATTCCACAGAGGGAGCCACTGACCAGAGCGAGGAGTGAGGAGATGGGTAGGAGTGTACCAGGCCTTCCAGATGGTTGGATGAAGGTACCAGATGTTTAAAACTGAAATGTGTTATTTAGAGTTATTGAAGAATTTATTTAACATGAAAAAGGCTAGGAAGCCATATACTTCAATTGTAGAATCATTATTTTCTTATGCGTGATTCTACATAATGTGATGGTTCTGCTGCTCCATTTTTCTGTAGTTTCTTGACACGGTGACAGGGACCTATCGATACTACCATTCCCCAACGAACCGTGTACACCTGTACCCTCCTGAGGTCACTGTTCCCCATACCCCACCCTCCACACCACCAACAGTCAAACAGAAGCCATCACGACCAGCTGAGCCAGACGCCAACCGTGAACGAGAGCAGGAACAGTCTAAACTGAAACGCTCCTACTCTTCTCCTGATATCAGCCAGGACCTGAGAGAGGAGACCCAGAAGAAGGCCACTGCCCCGACCACTGCTGCTGTCATACCCACCATCAATAGGGACACCAAGTAAGGCAAAATGTTAGAAACAGCTTATAATATAATCAGAAAAGTAGCATGGTGCTGGTGAAACAACAGTAATATGTGAACTAGGTGTTACAAAATTTACATTTAAGCCACATTTAGACTTTATCTAACTACAACATTTGAAATGCAGTGCAATTGGTGCTGACTGAGTTCAGCATCCCATCAATCACTGGATTTTGCAGCAACTGTGATAAATGGACATTGTCCTGCATGTGGCATTTATTATCACAATCAAGCTTCATTGTATTCCTTTGGGTCTATTACACATTGTATTACCTTGCAGAAAGTAGTCTGGTATGTTCTCATTGTGTTCCAGACCTGTCAGTGCTAAAGTCTATTCTAAAGTGGAGATTGCACGGCCTTCAGCTGCCAAAATTCGCAACCTGAATCCTACATTTGGAGGTTTGGGTGCCTCACTGACTGGTCTTCGTAACCTGGGAAACACATGCTACATGAACTCCATCTTGCAGTGTTTGTGTAACACTCCTGCAATGGCTGACTACTTCAACAACAATTGCTACCTGGAGGACATCAACAGGTCAGGCCCCAGATTAGTGGATTTACTTATCATAAAGAATCAGATATGAATGAAAAGATTCAAAGGGCTTGTTGTTTTCTTCCTCTGCTAGGTACAACATCCTTGGCCATAAAGGGGAGGTGGCGGAGGAGTTTGGTGTGATCATGAAGGCCCTGTGGAGTGGTCTGTACAAATGCATCAGCCCACGGGATTTCAAGATCACCATAGGCAAGATCAATGAGCAGTTTGCTGGCTATGACCAGCAAGACTCCCAGGAGCTGCTGCTGTTCCTCATGGATGGGCTCCATGAGGACCTTAACAAGGTAGTACATGCACTTGTTTTATGCATCTATAGGATATAACCACCAGTACGGCACAGATTGTCTTAAAAAAGGTTTCAATATCTGCTAGGAACAAAAGAAACAGAAAAGACGGTATTTAAATAAAAGCACACTTTCCCTAAGTTAAATATTAAGTGTATCAGTATTAAGTAATTTGTTATTTCCAGCCGTGGATTTTTAAGGCTTGCCTTCTACTAGCCCTGTATGTTGTTGCACACTTGCCTGTTAACAATAAAAAAAACCTAGTCTTTTATCATTTTCCTTCTTTCTGTTTTTTCACTGGGTTTCATTTTGATGGCAAATTAGAGAGTAAGTAAATAGCTGTGTGTTCTTGGTCCTCCTGCAGCAGTGTGAGTGTGGTGTGTGTGCATCTGTCTGGTCTGATGCTCTGTTGGATCCTCTGTGCATGTAGACCCAAGACATGCCTCATTGCCTGTATTGACTGATTTGACTGGCTTCATGTGCTTTTTAATAGGAAAAGAACTAGGTGAACTGTTTAAAAGACAGAAAATCATTTTCTAGCTTGAGATTTTTCTATTTTTAATCTTGATAAACATGACAGTGAAGATGGTTCTTAGAAGATAAGGCAACTTGGAGATACTGTGACAATTGTCTCCACCTGGGGTTGAGCTGAAGTAGTACACCCGCCCCATTTTAATTGTCAAATTATTCACTTCCATATTTAAAGGAAGAGGGGCCAGTTAGGGTGTAACAGCTGATGTCGTGCATTTCTCATGACACGCTCTCCATCTCATTACTTCCCTTTTGTGTGATGTTCAGATCTGTCTGCCACCGGACTGGCCCGGTCCACTTTGTCTTTAAATGATGCTTCAGTCAGACTCATTAATGTGACATTTTTTAGCAAGTGTTAACCTACCAGCCATATCCTCCTGCCTATAATACTGAGAGTGAAGTGGCTGAATTGCATGCTACTAAAACAGAAATAGATTAGATAGGTGTCGAATGCAAAGTTTCAGCACTTAGAAATTCAGTGACTTCTGTTTTTCAGTTCTATCCACAGTATAATAATTATGACAAGCATATTCTGTTAGTGGGATCACAAAGAGAGGTTGTGCTAACACCTACAAGTGCAGTTGGTCTTGTGTACCATCATGATGTCTTTCCCTGTCTGGTGTCAGGCGGATAACAGGAAGCGTTACAAGGAGGAGGAAAATGACCATCTGGATGATCAGACAGCAGCTGACCTGGCCTGGAGCAAGCACAAGCTGCTGAATGAGTCCATCATTGTAGCACTGTTCCAGGGACAGTTCAAGTCCACTGTGCAGTGTCTGACCTGTCACTGCAAGTCACGGACTTTTGAGACCTTTATGTACCTCTCCCTGCCTCTGGCCTCCACCAGCAAATGCTCCCTGCAGGTCAGCCAAAACATGTGTCAAGAGTTTGATCTGTTTTTAACGGTTTCTGATAAGCTTGCCAGAAACACCTAAATCTGGGCAAACTGCTTTACTGAGACACATAACCACTCAAAGCAGTTTGACAACATGTTTCTTCAGCCTTTGGTTTCTTTTATAATACCCAGATTCATTGTTGAGTGAGGTGAAAAACAACTTTCATAATTGGATATAATTGGCGTCCACATAAGAATGAACACTTACATGATACTGTATTTTGACATGTAAAAGCTGAATTGCTCCAGACTTTGACAACCATCAAATGTTTCTTTTTCTTGACAAGCACACAAACCATAATATGACTGCATCTTGGAGGCTTAAAATGTTGTCTCTTTTTAAAAATGAAACTATATAAGAAGTTTTGTTTTTGTTTTTTTTTTCCTTCCACTGAAAATTCCCTGCTTCTTGGCAGGATTGTCTGAGGCTTTTCTCCAAGGAAGAGAGGCTGACTGACAACAACAAAGTGTTCTGCAGACACTGCAAAGCCCACAGAGATTCCACCAAGAAACTGGAGATCTGGAAGGTCCCACCCATTCTCCTGGTGCACTTAAAACGGTATGTCAAACTTCTAAAGCTCTCAACATACATTTATTACATGATATTTTTGGCATTTTCTCAGTGTTACCACATTGACACAGCTTTCTTCAATGGATGTCTATTCTGCAGGTTCTCCTATGAGGGTAGATGGAAGCAGAAGCTGCAGACATCTGTGGACTTCTCCCTAGACAGTCTGGATCTAGCCCAGTACGTCATTGGACCCAAACAGAACCTGAAGAGATACAGCCTTTACGGAGTTTCTGTGAGTAGAAGTGAAATGAATTTTGTTGGATAGTTTTGTTTACAAACTACAAAACCGTATAAATGGTTAAAAGTTTAAGAGATTGTATGTTGATAGAGTACATCATCAATTAAATAAATATATACAATAGAAATACAACAATAAAAGAAATGTACTTAAGAATACAAGCATTAAAAGAGGATAATATACAGCACAGACCAATGAAGTATTATTACTGTTATTAAGCAGCTACATCTTTCCTATGGTTGATAAAGTCCATAAAAAGATGAAAAACAAGCCAATAACAGATTACTTCTAGTGGTCAAGCTGCTTCTGTACCGTAAACATACCACTGTTTGCCCATGTGACAGCAAGACAAATTGACCAAGACAAAACCTGGATGTTAAGCACACATTCAAAACGGCAGTATTTTATAGGTACCAAACTGTTGAGACAAGCTTTGCCTTATGTCTTCACTACCAGAACCACTATGGCGGTTTAGATGGTGGACATTACACAGCCTACTGTAAGAATGCTTCCAGACAGCGCTGGTACAAGTTTGATGACCACGAGGTGTCTGAAATCTCCACCTCATCTGTCAAATCCTCTGCAGCCTACATCCTGTTTTACTCCACCCTGTAATGGAGCTGCAGTTTATGAAGAGAGAACGCTACACCAGAGCAGCAACACTCAAGCCTTGAGGTTGTTTTTTTTTTTCTTTCAAAAATCACAGCTCTGTGGACCTGGCGTACCCACTGCGGGTAAACAAGTCATGTGTGTACATGAGGATGCACTTGAGCAAGTGACTACGAGATCCTGTCTGTTCCAGATTGGAGAATGGTGCGAGCACACTGTGCAGTGCTTCAGCTACTAGAAGACCCTATAGCTGTTTAAAACATGCTGTCTGTTCATATTACTGGTCATCTAGTGATTAAACAGATGCTCCTATTACTCTGACTCCTATACCATGATGATCGTGTTGTAGGGCTGACAGCTGGTTCAGATGCTCTTCATCATTTGCGATAAGCTCAGTGTTGAAAGCCCTATCACAGAACTGATTGTCAGCTTTCCTGTACTATGTATACACCAGGGTTAACAGTTAGATGGCATGTACATACATACCAATGCTGATGTTGCACATTCAGAAATGTAAATACTCGAAGGCAAGGTGTTGATCTGTTAAGTGACCAAATTATTATAATTTTTTAAGGTAGCAGCTGTCATAGTATCACCTTATTCATAAAGACAAACCATGTGTTTTAGGGGTAATCTATAGCCTTCTGAAGTTTAACATGATCTTTAAGTGTTGAATTTTACAGGAGAGCATTGAGATTGTTGCTTGTTCGCATTAGGCACATTCTTGCACTTATACAATATGCAGTCATTTTAAGTTGTTTATGTGGAACACTTTGTTTAACAGCAGACATTAAAACCCGACTCCGAATGCTTTGAAACCATGCTGATGCTGAGATCCATCATGATTGGTCCAGCCAGTAACAGAAAATCCTACCTGCTTCTATAAAGTTTGTTGTAAAATGTTTGTGTTAATCATGCTTAACTCTTTTCCTTATATTATTATATTCAAACAAAAACTATATAGAGGATAAGTTGGCATATTCCTTGGATTATAATGGTGATACTGGTTTTGTTTCTGGGAGGCTGGAATTCTGATTTGATTTAAGTAGTTTCTGTCTTCAGTACTGACCTGGGAGAATAGAAAGACGGGAGAAATTAACCTTACTGGCACACACCCACACACGAGTGTGTTATTGTCACCATTTGCTGTCCAACTGATCACTGACCAGACAAGCACAAATTATACTGATATTTTCTTTCCTGAATGGACCAGAGATCTGAGGTGGTAGGATTTGATTCTCTGCTTTCTGAGTACAGTCTTATTGCCTAGCATGAGATCATAATCTGTTTTCTTTTCACTTGTACGTGTTGATTTTATTTCTTATGCTCTTAAAAAAATTGCTTCTGACATAACGATTATATTAATCACAAACAACTCATACGACTATTTATTAAAACTGCTTCAAGTTAGTGTTTCTGTGTGTGAATTTAACAGCATTATGACAGGCTGAAGGTAGCCCTGCCCCGTCCCCTTTATGTCTGCAGTTATAAGACAATAAGTAAGACAAACATAAAAAAAGACATTTGGCCATAACAGTAGCACACAATTTAATGCTATATCTTTTGATGTATTTGAAGTAGAGGTCTGGAAGGCAGGCTTGCTGCAGACTCAAAGACAGTTCAAATCTGGGTTAAGGAAGGGGAGATGATGAAGGCAGATGGACAGGAAGCAGAAAGTCCTCTTATAGCTTTGGCCTGCTGTTGGAGAGTTCAGAGTCCATTAATCTTTGGCTTTTGGAAAGGCTTTCGTGTGTAGAGCAGTATGTAGGCATTTGGAGATTGTACAAGGTTGTCCTGTACCTCCCTGACTGCCGAGTCATCAAAACAGTGCCAGGCCCTAGTCAGGGTGTTGTGGCACAGAGCTGTGTAGTGACCCATGTTCAGGCTACCTGTATGGTTCTAGAAAAGGAGAGGGATCATTTGCATAAAAAAAAAAAAAAAGAAACGGGCAGTTAGCTTCTTTTTTTTTAAATGTAAATTCAAAATCCATTATCACTTGAAAAACAATAAATTGGATTGTAAAGAAGATTGGAGCCTATGGCACAATATCATCCTAAAAAAATGTAAATAAAGGTAAACTCTGAAGTTGATGAACTACAAAAGTAAAAAATATCACATTATAGAAAATGGAAACCTTTAATGTCCATTTCTGCAGCTGTCTCCACGTTATTAGAAAGATTTTTAAGCGATTGAACAACTGGGGCTTTTATTGTATTTGTGTGTGTGTTCACTCACCACAACAGCATACAGGCGGTATGAAGAATATGAGGTGTTCTGTGCTGAGCTGGGTAGAAACACAGTGAGACTGAGCCTCATGGAGAACACAACGTTACTCCTCAGTTTCACCTGGTTCTTCCCCTTACAACCAAACCTGCAGTGGAAATAAAGATTGCATTGATTTAAGATGTTATGGGGTGATAGCTGATGCAGCATTAGATCTCCAGTATCTCCAGGGTCTCTAGCAATGTGGTAAATACATAACTTGTCTTAGTGCATGAAAAATGCATGACTCTTGTTAAATTAATGTATTCCTATAAATATTATTTATAGTGAGCCTGTTGCTCACAAGGCTTTGGTAGTTACTGTACTTCACATTTAATGGGCCATCACTTGAAATCACAGTTAAGGCGTCCATGAATTAAAATGTCATTGAATTAGCTTTTTACAGTCTCTGTTAGCTTGCACACATCTGGCCATTCTCCGCTGACCTGTCTGCTGACAAGATGCGCTTTGCTCACAGAACTGATACTTAAGTTCTTATACTCGGCTCCAATTGTATCAATGCTTATGCAGTGTTGTCATGACACGCCATGCATTTAGGTCTTGTCATGTTATTTGTGAATGCATATAAAAGCCCAAGTGCAGTCTGTTTGAAGGTAAAATAGAAGTCTGTCACTCTACTACTCAGACATTTTAGTAAGATGTACAGTACGCTTTGTGCTTGAAGCCACGATTCATTCAGCTGTCTTGTTTTGAACAAGGTGCTCTGCTTCACAGATATGTTAATTATCAACAGCAAGTCATACACTGAAGCATGGTTAAAGTGGATAGTATTGTCAACTACTGTTTTCAAGGTCAGTCATCAACTTTCAAACAGAACCTTTAAGCCACTCCGGGCAAAGTTCCATTTGCTTATCAAGATTATGTGACTGAAGCCTCAGACCAACTACTAAGTGGACCTTCAGGTGAGAATGTTTTATAACTGATGATTAAAGTTTGAAGTCTCATACACTTAAGTCACAACGACGACAGATTCATTGAGTATGTACCTTTACTATAAAGGTTACCCTGAACAGATGATGTTGTTTTACCCACCGTTTCAGGTGCAACACGAGGATCTCAGGAGGTTTGTCCAAACAAGTGAGGACTGCCGTTTCTCTCCTCTGCCTGCACACTGAACACAGCATCTGCTCTCCCCCAGTCAGGGTAGTCTGCTCGAAGAACAGTGACAGGCAATCCTGCACAACATGCAGACACAATGAAGGTGAGAAAGGTTGGGTATATGACCTGCTTTCACTGTGGATGGTGTTTTCAGCAGTGTAAAATGCAAGTTGTAAGCACCTACAGCTGTTAAAAGGTACCTGAATGGAGCACTTAGTGGTGCTTGTTGGGATCGGTAGGGACAGCACAGTGAAGCTTTGTGTGCTGTGTGCCTGGTGTTCACAGTGCATGCAGAGCCTCATGTAGCTCAGCTGGCCCTCAAAAAGGTGTGAGACAATTGTGGACTCTCCTGCAGCAGTGGCACAGTTTTTATTCTGGTCTTGGCTCTGCTGTGGTATTGAGGAGCCCACTTTGTGCTTAGCGACCTTGTAAAAAGACACAGATTTACTCTTTCGGTAGGTGTAGTGAGTTTTCATGGTGTGTGTGTGTGTGTATGTGGTAAGTGATAGAGGTCACAGAACCTTTTTGAGGTCATCGTGGAGTGCGTTGAGGAGAAAGATCAGCAGTTCCTGTGCATCTTGCTGGGAGTAGTTGTTGAACTGGGGGAGGATGGAACACAGGACAGATCTGGCCTCCACAGGCGCACAACTGGGGCTGCTGCCCAGCCACATCTCCTCCAACAGGCGGACAAACACCTGGGCCACTCGGCACTTAGACCTGCAATAACAGAAGAAAACATTACTGTCAGTATACAAACATGTCAGAAACAGAGGTGGTGTGCGCTCTTACCGTGCCAGCTCTTTGTGAGTGTCCTTATTGAGGAGGTGCTCCACGAGGGGCACAGTGGAGCACAGGCACTGTAACACAGCATTGAAGTAGCAGGAGTTACCGGAGTTGTCCAAACCGCACACTCCTGGTGTGTTCCACCCATGCAGCCTCACTGCTGAGCTGTAGCCTCGTTTCTCCATCACCTGACCACAGCTGATTGTGTTCAACCAGTGAGAGCAAAGATGGAATAGAGATCAGAAGTATCGCTTTATTCCTGTGCAGTGTAGCTAAATATATCATCATTTCACATAGTCACACCTTATACAGTATATGTTTACTATGGCTGAGTAAAGCATTTGATTAGTTCATCAACAGAAAGGTAATTTATTTGCACCCCAAATAATGTACCAGCTGCTGGTAGGAAGGTTAGTGCATAGAAGATACAATGCAATGTACTCCTTACATGCACTATGTACATAATATATTAAACCGTTCAAATGTGTATTAATAGGGAGCACACACATTACTTTTTAATTAAAGGATGCAAAATGTACACTATCCTGGGAGTATGAAATACCACACTGCATTGCATTTTGTTTTTTCCAAATATTGTGAAGACAATTATTAGCTTGAATTGAAACTATAATACACAGTAAGACTAACCTTTGCTTAGAAAGATTTGTTAATCTTGTCTCTTGGTATGAACTGCTATTTAGCCGTGGCAAAACAGGCACAGTTATGCTGCTGTCCATGGCCAGCTTGGAGGCCAGAGCCTTGGTGAACTCTGTCAGGTGGACCTGCCTACCTGAGCCCTGGCTCTGCAGAGTGTGGAGCACAAATGTGTTGATGCAGATCATGTGCAATGTCACCCAGAGACCTGGGAGAAACACGTCCTCTGATCCCTTCAGGTCTGACAGAGGTACCAGAGCAGGTCCGACCCAGCCCTGCAGGTGAGCTACAAGTTGAGACAGTGAATCCTCAGATGTTTTTTGACACTGATGTGGTATGATGGGTGGAGATGAAGCTGACATTGGGTCCATGATTGGCTTTTTAACAGCTGAAACAAAATTGATATTGACCCCAAAGCCAGAGAGGGTATCAGTGAGTCTGCAGTCCATCCATTCAGAGCTGTCCAGCTTAACCAGGTGTCTGTGGCTGCAGAAAGGTCTCAGCAGGTGTTTGACCACCTGCTCAACTACAAGTTTCTTACTGCGCCTTTGGAGCACCTCTGGACAGTACAGATACATGTTACAGATGAACCCTGAGCTCATGTCACAGAGGAGGGCAAGATGGAGAGGGCAGGGTCCCTGCTGGTAGGACAGTTGGTATTTCTTCACAGCCAGATTTTCACCAGGTGTGTATAAGGCCTGGTATCGCCTGGTTAAGTGGTTACAGAAAACGGAGAGGGCTTCCAACTTGTCTTCATTCTTCAGTGTGATCGAAGCCAGGAGGTTGGTCTGGAAGCTGCTTCTCTTCAGGACACCTTGCCAGCCATCCAGTTTAAGAGTCAGCTCAGAGTCAAAGCTGCAGTTGTCTCCTGAAGACAGACCACTTTGTAGGACTATAGAGAACCATCTTAATGCTTCAGTGTACTCCTCCTCAGAGACGTATGTGCCTTGGTCTCTGCTCTGGCTGTATGACGAACAATTAGCTTGTGTTTTCACGCCAGAAGCTTTCCTAATCAGCTCCCGGACAGCTCCTCTGTCAAGCACTTCCAGAAGAAGCTCCCTGGCTGTATAATAAACCTGATAGGTAGGGCTGCTCCGAATCCTGGTGAGTGGCTTCACTTTTTTGGTCTTGAAAATATTCGGTAAACAACGGCTTCCTTTCTGGGTGTCTCCATGCAGCTCATCCACTAGGTGGCATTCTTCTGCCATCCAGGTGCACTCCTTCACTGACAAAGCCTTGGCCTTCATCTTAGCCTCTCTGCTGGTCTTAGAAGAAGCTATCACAAAATGCTGATAGCTTCTCTCACAAGAGAGACCTCTGATCTGAAACCACTAGTTCATGGCGAGAGGAAAGCCACAAAAATGTAAATACTGTGTGCCAGAAACTTCCCTGTAGTCTGCTGAGTGTGAGGACAAATGGAGAAGATCACCAGACACAGAGCATTTGAGGTGTTTCTCTTCCTATAGGGAGTCTGACAAACTGTGTGCACTGTACATGTACATATGAATGCAGGTTAGTTTGTGTGCGTTGATCTGTTCTCAGGTGAAATACATACTCTTGAGAATCTGCTGTTGAGGTAAAAATCACCAGGG